CTTATTGTAAACCTTAATTTGCTGTGGTTCTGTATATAACCTGTTCTTTGCTTAGTAAAAATATTAAACAAGAGATGGCAAAGGTTAACATCCCTTTTAACTCTTTTTTTTCTGCCTATGTCTCCATTTGGGACCTAAAGGTTGATAAAAATTTCCAATGGGCTAACATATAAAATCAAAAACATATTTGTTAGTTGTAAAGGGTTAGAAGTCTAACTATTTTTATTGCTGTCCATGTTTTCTTGTGTTAGTGACACCCACACCCTCCATTTCTTGCATGGGCATTTAGTGGCAGGAGTAATATCATTTTCTCAGGCAGAAATGAAAAAACAATGAACAGTTTAGACTTCAAATGTTCTGTTCTCAGGTATGCTTGGGAGACCCAGACATGTATGTATGTGACAAAAACAGCCAAAATGATTTGGGAATAATCATATAATGCTTGTGTGTGTTGTGACGGGAGTCACTTTGGATGGGGGGCCCATGGAACACAGCTCACTTTGGAGAGGTGGGGAAACCCCTGTCTCAGCTCCCCATATCTCTATTATGTGTAAGTCACCCTGTGCCTGTTAGGGGTACAGGGTGATCTGTCCTAATATTGGGTTGGGGGTTGTTGTTTTAATGCCATGTGGTTGCATCCCATTGCTCTATTGTATGTCTTGCTTGGGTTCAAACTATTATGGGATATATGTGTTAATGTGTATTAGCTTAGTGGGGGGTGTCTCCAGCAGCCCTCCCTCCTGATAGGACTGTCTGCTAATGTTAAGTTTGAATACCTGTGTGTCTCTTGTTGCGAAGTATAGATTGCCCCGCCCTGTGTCATTATGCAGGGGGGGGGATTTCCCCCTGAGTGTATAAAAAGCCAGTTCGAGTTTCAAATAAATGAGTTCCATGTTCAGACACATTGGTGTCGTCTAGTCTTGTTTAATCGGCTGTGGTCGGTGTTTGGACGGAGAAGCGATTATTATAACGGACGTACCCAAGCGCAGACTGGGTCCGTTCCGTTACATGTGTGAATTACCTCTCAAGTGTTTTGCCCTATGGCCCTACCTACTTGACAGTTATGGCACCACTCAAAGCCTCTTGCATACTATCCCTGCTTTTCTTCTGCTCCAGGTGATGGTTCCTCAAGGGGCACAACCTACTCCATCCCAGGGGCGATCTGACAACTCATGGGGCCCCCAGGCAATAGGGGATCATGGGGCCCCTGTGTCCTTGCCCAAACTCAAAAAAGCCTATGAAAAAGGTACCAGGGGCATCTCATGGGGCCCCCTACTGACCCCGGGCCCTCGGGCAGTGCCTGAGTTTCCAAATGGTCAGTCTGCCACTGCTCCATCCATCCACTTTGTATCAACCAGGTCTCTAAGTAAAAGTAAAAACTTTAGCTGCAGTCACCCCTGTGGCCATGCCCCTCTGATGCATTTCTCTCTGAATGGGCTTAGTCGCATACATCTAATCAGGGTAAAACTCATCAGTGGGGTGTGGACAATGGGATGGGGACTGAAGCTTTTACTTTCACTTTGAGACTTGGAGAGAGATTTACTAAACTTGGTGCCCTCATAATCTGGTTCAGCTGTACATAGTAACCAATCAGCTTGTTCAATTAAGCTTTGACAAAACCTGGAAGCTGATTGGTTTATGTGCACCAGATTAAATAAACCATTCATTGGTACATAAATCGAGATAGAAAATATGTTTTTGAATGATCTAAAAGGCTCTGGTATAGAATGTACTGTATGTGGAAGTAGTTTAGCTACATACTAACCAACCTCAGCAATGCAGAAGCTGTTGTCAATTGCTGTGCCAATTTTACACTGGCAGGCAGCTATGGCATGTCTGGCAGGTGCCAAAACAGGAATTTTTGGCTATACCTCAATTCTAAATCCAGTACTAATTTCACAAGATGAACCAATCAGTTTCTGGGTTTTAGATCATACTTCAGAGTACTCTGACCTCCTATTTCTAACCTAACCTAGTAAAATAACAGCCTTTTGGTAAAAACGGATGTTGCATAACTATTACATTTCACTGTGAAATGCACAATACTTTTTGATACAACCCAAGAGCATTTCTTTACATTTTGTTTACACATTTTAAATTGAAATATAATTGAGTACAATAATATATATATTTTTTTTACTGAAAACATGAGAAGATTAATATATTCTTAATCAGCCCTGTTGCTGCTCAAATAATTTAGTGAACACTGTAGATAGCAAATATAATTAACTGAAGCATTTTGAATATATCTTGAAAGTTCTCTTTATTCTATCACCGATTTACAATGTGTTCAACAATTCTCAGACAATCTATACTTCATATCATGGTGTCACTGCCATTTGCTAACATCATGCTGAGTTTGCAGGTACAGACAAGAGGTCTTTGACCAGAGATCAGCGAGGTGACATTTTCTAATCTAAATGTATCAATATATGCATTTAGACATTTCTCCATGATTGTATGTTCAGTTAGGTTAGCACATATTTTTAATTATTTTTGCTTACTTTAAAGTGGTTGTAAGTCTCAGACATGAAATATGAACATATCCCTCTATAGTATGTACTTTCTCAATTGAAAGCACTGAGTGTCATTTCTGTGTACAGCTTTGTTCCTCTGCTATAAGCACAAGTCACTTCTAACAAGTTTTCCTGACACCAACAGAGAAATGGTGACAGAGGAGGGACCTCCAGCATATTGACAACCTCAGCTCTTTCCTCCAATCAGCTCTTAGAGCTCTCCTCACTGAGCTCTGCAGAGTTTAACCTCAGCTCCCCGCCCCCTTTTTTCTAACCACTCAGATAAGCTTTATAAATTCTGGGAGTTGAATGGATGCAGAGAAGAATTCTGATAAACAGGTACAACTTATGCTGGAGGATTTGTTTCATCTCTGTGTATCACCTGAGGCCAATCACTTAACTGGGTATATGTAAGGGTTTACAACCTTTTTAAAGCAATTTTGATGTGATGTTGACATATTAACCCCCCTGGCGGTATTCCCGAGTGTAGCTCGAGGTTAAGTTTCAGTACCACAAGCGGTAACCCTGAGCTACACTCGGGCTTACCATGCGGCACTGCTCCACGATCCCTAGATCACTTACCTTGTCTTGCGCTCCCGCGATGTTCCTCCTGCAGTGTCCCCGGCAATGTTCTCCGGCTGATGCCGGCATCTGTCTTCTGGGTTCCGTCTCCTGCGAGCGTCGGGACATACAGGGGACGGAACGGCGGGAAATTCAAAAATGACAAAAAGTGACACACTAAATTTGCTAAAATTACATAGTGAAACATTACTGTATCAAACCATTTCACATACATTTTGTCCCGAGTGCTTTGTCCTGCACCCTGCCTGCATTTTTACTGTTCTTTCTGCCTGGAAACTGAGAAACGTCCATGGCGTCCAAAAAGCATCCCTTTAGGTCAAAAGCGGTTTTAGACCGACTAGAGAACAGCGATAGTAAATCTGAACCACTTGCAGAATTGAGTGATAATGATTCGTGGGGAAATTCGTCATCAGACACTGAAAATGATTTTGCAACTTTGCTCAGTGATGTGCGAACTTGGAGCTCTATTTCAAATTTCAGTGTTTTTGGTTTGATTATATTATTGAATTAAATTTATTATTATATTATTATTTTTTTTATGATTATTTAAAATTATAATTTATGATTTTGTGTTTCAAGTTTTATCCTACCCGGGATGTTTACTAGACTCTTGTTCGGACAGATTTCAGTGAGTTATTCCTAAAAATTACAGGCCTACAATAAAAAAAACGACATATTTCCATGCAAAAAAATGTACCGCTTTCAGCACAGAAATATGGACATAATCAGACCGCTAGGGAGGTTAAAAATCATTGCCCATATTTTTGTTGTATCTTTTATTTGCAGATTAGCCACAAGAGGAAAAGGAGTTTAGCTATTATAGTAGCACTGAGATGAAGCCACACGGGGGGGGGGGGGGGGGGGGGGGGGGGGGATTTACCAAAACTGGTTCCCTCAGAATCTGGTGCAGCTGTGCATGGTAGCTGATCAGATTCTAACCTCAGCTTGTTCAATTAAGTTTTAACAAAACCTGGAAGCTGATTGGTTTCCTTGCAGAAGTGCACACAATTCTGAGTGGACCACTTTTAGTAAATCCCTCGGAATGCGTTATTTTCTATAGGTTGACCAACTCCTAAGGGTTGGTTTACTAAAGGAAAGTGGGAATTTCCGATGTCACTTCTGGTCAGGCTTGGAAAGCACACTGAGGAGTCGTCGGCTTCCTAACGGTCGGGTGAGAGATGTGTTTTTCCTTTTTGGACATCATTTTACAGTAATAACTTTTAAAATAAACAGATTTCACACTGAGATGATCACTCTTCTTTTTTTGGATTACCTGTCATTTGAACCATTGTTCGGCCAGTTGTTGAGGAGTAATATCTATACATGGTGTTGAATAAGAGGTTTGATCAGATCCTTTGTTGCCCACAAAGCACAGTCTGATTTATTTTTGATTTAACCACTTCAAGTCCTGACACTTTTACCCCTTTCCTGCCCAGGACAATTTTCAGCTTTCAGTGCTATCACACTTTGAATGACAATTGCGCGGTCATGCAACACCATATGAAATTTTTAGCATTTTTGTGAGACAGATAAAACTTTATTTTAGTGGTATTTATTCACCACTGGGATTTTTATATTTTTTGCTATATAAATGAAAAAGTCCTAAACTGTTGAAAAAAGCGGTTTTCTTATAAAAATTTTGCAAATAGTCTTTCTTCATAAATCTTGGCCAAAATGTATTCATCTATCTCTGTAAAAAAAAAAAAAAAACAAATTAGTTTATAACCAAAAATTATAATTTTTCAAAACATTTTTTTACATTTTTATTTTTTATTTTTGCATACTGTCACCCTAGAACTACACTAATTTTTCACTTTTTTTCACTGATTACTTTTACACCCATAAAGGCTGTAAAATAAATCAATTATTCTCTCTGGTTGCATTCCTGCAGCCATTGAGAAATACTGTGCGAGCTGTGATTGGTCACAGCTTGTCACATGGTACAAGGCTGTTTTGAATAGCCTTGTACCATGTGACCTCTGTGATCATTCACAGATTTCACCAGTAGTAAGCAATGATGTCAAGAAGTGACATCTTGTTTACTACTATTCATGTGATTGGCCAGTCAGTGATCATATGAATCAGGAACTCACACAGAGGGTCCCGTACAGTGATCTATGTTCCCAGGGAGCACACACAGGCAATGGATGCGGGAGGACGTTTAGAAACGTCCACCTGCAGTGGCAGAGCTTCTGTCCAGTCATTTATCGGCAATGGGCCGTGCGGGAAAAGCTTAAACAAGGGGGTCATTGCAATCTGGTGAGTGCGGAGTGTTTACAATCACACGTGGTGGAATATTAACCGCTTCCCCACCACCCTATAGCACAAATACTGCTACAGGGTGGCAGGGCTGCACAAAATCACGTAATATATATGTGATTTTGTATTTCCAGGTAGGGGGCACGCACGCGCCCTACCTGCGCTGCTATTGGCGGTTACAGCTTACAATCACCATGTCTTAGCCGGAGATTCCTCATCGGCACCCGGCTATCGCCGACTATCACTGACAGGTAGTGGTCTGTATGTAAACAATACAGATCTCTCCCCTGTCAGCTCCAGCATGCTGCTTTGTATTGCTCTGCATAGCAGAACAATACAAAACAGCATGCCTCCCTAGTAAAACATACACAGCACACAGGGCAATGATCCACAGCAATATTGAGGCCACCCTAACAGATACAGTTTCCAAGCATCTTAAGGTCTGGCAGCCTTGGGTGGAAAATGTCTTGTCTCTTGGCTTTGTCACCTCCCTTCTTGAACCCCGACCTCCTTATTTTTTTAGTCTATAAAGCGAGCCCAGCTTTGGCCTCTAGGACTCAGATGACCCCCTGCCACCATTTCTCCTGTTTTCTTTTTTTTTTCTCTCCCATTCTGAGGAGGTTTTGCATTATGACTTATAAGTAAACTTTGTACTTAGACTGAACGTGATCATTGGACATGGTTATCTATGCTGATGTGTACTGGTTGGTTATATTTTTGGGGGCTTAGTGCTCCAGTTGATCTTGAGATATTTCATACTATTTGGTATATCTGTATGCTTTTATTGTGTAATGCATTGTTGTATCCATGGTGTCTTGAGTGGGTGCAAGTCCTACTCTTACTGTAAACCTAAATTTGATGTGGTTCTGTATATAACCTGTTCTTTGCTCAGTAAAAATATTAAACGAGATGAGAACGGTTGGCATCCCTTTTTTTTAAACTTTTTTTTTTTTTTGCCTATTTCTCTTTAATCAGGGTCCGCAGAGTGCCCCTTACATCAGAGTCTGCAGAGCATGGGTCTGCACATCCCACCTTACCTTGGAGTCTGAACAGCCACACAGCTTTACATAGGAGTCCACAGAGCACCTCTTACATCAGAGTTTGCAGAGTTCTCCCTTACATCAGAGGCGGCAGAGCCCCTCTTTCATCCAAACCAGGGTCTGCACAGCCTTTCTTACATTAGAGTACACACAGACCCCCTTTCATCAGAGTCCAGAGAGCCCCCCTTACATCAGAAGTTTAATTGAACTTAATTGATTTAATTTTATTATTTTAATAAGTACAAGAAATACCTTTTTATTTTGCCAGAAATCTATTGAGTTTTAAAATTTCCTGTGGACTCTGCAGCATTATCTCAAGCAGTCGTATTAGCTCTGCCCAGGTTATGAACTACAGAACTTCCCAATTTTGTTGATATACACTGCTCAAAAAAAATTAAAGGAACACTCTGAAAACACACCAGATCTCAATGGGGAAAATATCATGCTGGATATCTATACTGATATGGACTGGGTAATGAACGCAAGGTTGCCCCATTGTTTGATGGAAATGAAAATTATAAACCTACAGAGGACTGAATTCAAAGGCACTACGAAAATCAAAAGTGAAAAAATTATGCAGCAGGCTAGTCCATTTTACTGAAATTTCATTGCAACAACTCAAAATGGTACACAGTAGTTTGTATGGCCCCCACATGCTTGTATGCATGCCTGACAACATTGAGGCATGCTCCTAATGAAATGACATATGGTGTACTGGGGTGTTTTGGCAGCGTCGGATGCAGGGGCGGACTGACAACTAATGGGGCCCCCGGGCATTAGGGGATCATGGGGCCCCTGTTTCCTCACCCTCACTCAAATCACACCCAAAAGAGCCTATGAAAGGTACCAGGGACATCTCATGGGGCCCCCTACTGACCCCGGGCAGTGCCCGAGTTCCCCAATGGTCAGTCTGCCCCTGGTCGGATGGACCGAAACATGATATCCCAGAGGTGTTCTATTGGATTCAGGTCAGGCAAGCATGGAGACCATTCAATGGTCTATCATTGAATGTGGCATTGTTGTGCACCAGGAGGACCCCAGGACCCACTGTACCAGCGTAGGGTCTGACAATGGGTCCAAGGAATTCATCCCAATACCTAATGGCAGTCAGTGTGCCATTGTCTAGCCTGTAGAGGTCTGTGCATCCCTCCATGGATATGCCTCCTCAGACCATCACTGACCCACCACTAAAATGGTCATGCTGATCGATGTTACAGGCAGCATAATGTTCTCCACAGCTTCTCCAGACCCTATCACATCTGTCACAGGTGCTCAGGGTGAACCTGCTCTCATCTGTGAAAAGCACAGGGCGCCAGTGGTGGACCTGCCAATTCTGGTGTTCAATGGCAATTGCCAATTGAGCTCTATGGTGAGCACAGGGCCCATTATAGGACGTCGGGCCCTCAGGTCACCCTCATGAAGTCTGTTTCTGATTGTTTGGTCAGACATTCACACCAGTGGTCTGCTGGATGTCATTTTGTAGGGCTCTGGCAGTGCTCATCCTGTTCTTCCTTGCACAAAGGAGCAGATACCTGTCCTGCTGATGAGTTAAGGACCTTCTACGGCCCTGTCCAGCTCTCTTAGAGTATCTGTCTCCTGGAATCTACTCCATGCTCTTGAGACTGTGCTGGGAGACACTGCAAACCTTCTGGCTATGGAACATATTTATGTGCCTTCCTGGAGGAGTTTGACTGCCTGTGCAACCTCTATAGAGTCCAGGTATCGCCTCATGCTACCAGTAGTGACAATGACCCTAGCCAAATACAAAACTAGCAAAAAACAGTCAGAATAGATGAGTAGGGAAAAAAAATGTCAGCGGCTTCCACCTGTAAAACCATTCCTGTTTTGGGGGTCATCTCATTGTTGCCTATCTAGTGTGCCTGTTAATGAAATTAACACCAAAGCAGCTGAAACTGATTAACAACTATCTTTTCTACTTAACTGACCAGATCAATATCCCAGGAGTTTACTTGACTTGATGCTTTACTCTGATTAAAAAGTGTTCCTTTTAATTTTTTGAGCAGTGTAGTAAAGTAGAAGGAAGGTGTTCAGTAGTCTAAATCAGGGCAATCAAACTAGAGTGAAAACATTGCTCCTCCAAAGATACAGTATAGCGAGTGAGAATTGCCACCCAAAACAAAAACAGAATGGGAAGTGTAACTAATATAGCCAGGGGCGGACTGACAACTCATGGGGCCCCCGGGCAATAGGGGATCATGGGGCCCCTGTGTCCTTGTCCAAACTCAAAAAAGCCTATGAAAAAGGTACCAGGGGCATCTCATGGGGCCCCCTACTGACCCCGGGCCCTCAGGCAATGCCCGAGTTTCCAAATGGTCAGTCCGCCCCTGAATATAGCCATCATTTCAAAGGACTGTTAAGCTTCAATTAAATATAACTTTGTTTTTGAAGTGATTCTAAAGGTAAAAAGCATTTTGCCATAATGCATTTTATGCATTAAGGTAAAAAACCTTCTCCCCCCGCCCCGATCCAGAGCTGTGCATGAGTGCAGTGCCTCTCTCTTTCCTCACTGGACAGAAAGGCAGCAACGGGAACCATTGGCTCCTGCTGCTGTCAATCACATCTGGTGAGGAAAGAGTGGGGATGTGTCCAACCCTTGTCAATAGACACACAGAGCGCTGCTCAGGTGTGAGCCTGCATGAGTGCCCTTACCTCATAGCAAACAGCTTGCTATAGGGTAAGGGCAGACTGACAACTCATGGGGCCCCTGTGTCCTTGCCAAAACTCAAAAAAGCCTATGAAAAAGGTACCAGGGGCATCTCATGAGGCCCCCTACTGACCCCGAGCCCTCGGGCAGTGCCCGAGTTTCCAAATGGTCAGTCCGCCCCGGCTATAGGGGAACTCAGCAAGGGAGAGGAGCCAGGAGCACCAGCGGAGGACCCCAGAAAAAGAGGATTGGAGCTGCTCTGTACAAAACCTGCAGATAATGCGTTTGTTGTTTATATATAAACAAATATCCTTTAGAATCACTTGAAGAGTTAAATGCACTTTAACAGGCACCCTGAGTCCAGTATACTTGGGATTATACTTGCCTTCATCTACGAATCAGTGATTTTTTTTTTCCCCCCTCCGACTCAGTCATAGCCAATTCCTCTTCCATAAGGTCAAGTTGTCTCATCAACATGATTCTTAACAATAATCCTGATGTATGGAATATGTGCTCATTGAGAAGTATCAATTATGCATCAGGGCTAGTTTTCTGGGAGTAGGAAAATAATATGCTTGTAAATTAGGTGGAATTTTTTAAATGCTTGATTACCTTTATCAAATCTCACCATAACCTACTGTATGTTAGATTAGGTTAGTTAGATGCACATCAAGCAAGAACAAATATTACAAATTCATTTCCCACTGCCATTTAGTTAATCCATCCTCCCTACTTGTTAAATCTATGTATTTTGTACTTCTAACAATTTCCATATTTTCCTTGCTAATACTTTTGCCTTTTTAAAAATGAGTAATTTTCACATCTCCTTATAGGCTTTGTAGAAGAAATGAGAACTTTATTCTGGAAATATATCCGAAGAATAGAACCCTGCATACTATAGAAATTAGTATCATTAAGTGCATTAAATCATGGCAAATGTTCACAAAGAGCAATCAAAGGCATTGTTATTCCTTTACAGTTTTCTTTTCTTTATAACTGAAAGAGGACATTTTCTTCAGGCACATTTTCATTTTAAGTTTCTTTATTTCTGTCTTGGACTAACCACCATGATTGAGAGCTTCCAGAAGCAAATCGTACTGCGCACTGAGAGACTGAGGTCAGCGAGAGGTGCAGTGTATGGCATATAAAGGCTCTCTGAGCATATTGTGGCACATAACCTGCAATCTGCAGTGACTTGTTTTTACAATCATACTACTGCTAAAATATCAGGGTTTTAGAGTAGGTAGGCAACTTATCCTATGGCAACAAAATGAGCTTAATATATCCATATGTAACATAACACATTGTGAATAATTGTATGGTCATGAATACTAAACTGTGAGTTTAAGAGCCCATTCACACCATCACATTGTGGTAACATACTTTAGGCTAGGTTCACATCTGTGTGGGTGGTTCCTGCAGCCACAACCACCTGCACAGAAAAAACGTGTTGGATGAGTGCAGGTACCATTAGGCACTGGAAATTGCTTCGGCACTGGGATCTGCGCTGTACTTGCAATTCCCGTGCGGGCTGCGATTCTAGAAATGGCGCAGTTGCCTTTTCTATGGACAGGTCAACTAGACCCCAGGGCGAACATGCCAAATGGTG